AACAACGGAAACTACACTCCAGTTTGGTGCTTCCCAAAGACGGATTTTTTTCGCATACGTGCAACACACTCTTCTGCTGACTCACCAAACGCGCATACAAATGCGTCCCGATCGCTACCTTGAAATACCCCATCAGTTTTCATGTCTTTCTCGTCACCTGACCCCTCTTGGGCATATGACGGTGTAAACACCTCATCGAAATCAGCCGCAATTTTAAACGACCCATTGGGTAAACGCAATTTTGATGCCACCGGGTCACCCATCGACGTTGTGTCGTCAAGAATGACTTCACAGCGAAGCAAAAAGGGTGCCCTTTCACGAGAAGAGAAGACAACACATTCATCCACGGCAATGTTCACAATCCACTTGACGGGATCCGCGACACCCCCGAAAGGATAGATGATGGACTGGGTGCTCAATGAATTGTTGATTTCTTGTAGCTTTCTTTTTAATTCTGTTTGGCGCTTTCGCTTATCCGGATGTTGGCACAGCTGGGAGCTCAAGTGTGTGACGATGCTGATAAATTGTCGCTCTTCATTGTATAACTTAAGCCGCAATTCCTTCCGCATAATCTCCGCCTCTGTCACTTCGTCATCATTCCCGTCTCTAACATTCCCTCGGCGGTTAATCGCGAAGCTCTCAATTTTGTCCCGAATCTCCTTCACGCGGTCACCGAGCCCCAACGAGCCAAATATCTTCTGCACGGAGTCCACCGTCCACGACAATCGCAGCGCGGCGCTGAACGACTGAGCAGCTATCCAGAGCATAAAGTTGCGCAAAAGGTCCTGAACCTCCGCCTCGCCGTGAGTAATGCAAACATGAGACACCTGCAGCAGGACTTCCTCCAGCGTCGGGAGCGGGGTGTCATACAATTTGTTGACGATCAGAACCTGTTCGTCAAATGTGGCTGTAGAGAGGTCAAGTAACCGCTCCAGTAGCTCACGTCGCCGCAGCGACAAATTTGACGACGCCTTCATTCTTGTTTTTTTTTTTTTTTTTTTTTTTTTTTTTTAAGGTAGCATAGAAAAAGTAAAAATACACAAAAAAAAAAAAAGTTGGCTAATCGGAACCCGGTGTTTTAAAGGCATTCCAAGCACACTCCCGCACAAAAAATAAAAATAAAAATTTGCAAAGTTACTCACATTCATAAAGGTGCATATAAATGGATATATATATATATAACGCACCAATTTATCGTAAACTAAAAAAATAAAAATAAATTGAATAAAAAACATGTGAGGAAAAAAAAAAAAAAAAATTTTTTTTTACTTGTTTTGCCTCAGTTGAATATCAATGAGTAATTGCACATGGTAAACACAAAGCACTTTGCATATAACATTTAGGTAAACCCTTTTTTTTTTTTTTTTTTTTTTTTTCCTATTTACAATCAAAGAAATGGAAAGAGCAAATCACAACTCAAGTAAAAATTATCATTCCGCCTTCAATCCATGTTGCAACACGACCATCTCCTTCTTAAGAAATGCCTTACGCAATGATGCCGAGACCGTCCTCACCTTTTCTCGAAGCCCCTTCTCATCATCGGTGTACTGGGAAACAACCGCAACCGTCCTGGCCTCCGCAGGAAATTCTGGTAATAGCCGCATGGGGGTTCGGCCCTTCCCCACACCCTTCAATATTTCTTTTACATCTGAAAGTGAATTTATAGACAAGGCCTTTTTGCGCAAGGCATTTGCGTATGGCACATCGATCCGAGCATTATGTGGCTGTAAGAACTTTGGTGGTTCTTTTGACGTTGTCGATGCGCCCAAAAACTTTTTTTTTTCAAGCAGAGGTGGCAAATTATGGGTTAAGCGTGACAGAACAACTCCAAACAGATACGGAATGTTAGGCATATAGCCATCTGCATCTAGCTGGTGCAAAAAGAGAGTTGCCACAGCGGAGACAAACTCTTGAAAATGGATGGTGGCCTTTTTGCAAGTAACATTCCCAGCATCAGAGGGTCCCTCAATGCTCTTCCTCTCCAAATACATCTCCAAGAACGATGAACAGTCACCCCACGGAGCCAATAGTGTATCAACACATAATTCAATGCACGCCGAACTAAATTCTTCAAATGTCATCACAGCTTCCGTAGAATGACGCTCAAAAAGGCTTTTTAATTCTCGTACGTGTGATGCAGGAATCACCTCCACTAAGGGCGCTGCCACAAATAGGACATCCTTTGAGCTGAATATAGTGCTACCAGAGCTGTCACGTAATGATACCGATGCCTTAGTAATGGGAGAAAGTATTAGTTTACCCTCATCTTTAGATTCAACAAAATGAACATGCATTGTATCGACAGAAATATCCCACATGGAGGATGGAATGACCACTTCCACCCTATTGGACCCTCGCTGAAAAGCCATTACACGAATCTCATTTACATACACCGCACAACGCCTCATGCCATAAATCAAAACATCGTATTCAGCCTGGAATTGTCGATTCAACTCTTCTCCAAACAACGTTGATGCCAGTCCCGCAGTGGTTGCAGGTACGGGCCCAGATATACGCCTTCCATTTCCACCGTCGGGAGTGATATTAATCTTGTGAAACTGAAAAATACGTGGAGGGTAGTCCTTACCCAAATCCAGTGAGTCTTCAGAGCGATCATCAACAGTCAGGTTCCAACCCCCAATGATAAAAGACGACGTTTTGTCAATAGGCACCCTGGAGGGAAAAAGAAGACTAATAGCTGGAGGAATCGAGGCATATTTGTTGTCAAGTATAGGATCATCTACCATTGGTGCGCCTACAAACTTACTGTAGTAATCTTCAAAAACCGACCAAACCTTTGCTGTAAATGGTCGATGATGCTCATACTGCACCTCGTCAGAAAATGCCACAACACCCAACATCAGAAGCGCCTCTGCAAAGGAATCAAGTTCTAACGCCGTCACTCTCCCATTGGGGAGTTCCAAAGTAGAATATTCCATTAAATTATGAATGCCAAAGAACCCAGGGTAGTCAAAAATAGATCTGGCGCCTATTTGCTGAACAGGCGTAAAGTTTGGAAACACATCGTCCAGCATTCTCTCAAACGCACCACGGTAAATTCGACCATCAACAGCGTAAAGATTAAAAATTGGTAGAACAATAGAATGGGCTGATGAAGCCATAACATGTATCACAAACTGGTTGATGTAGGGTGTCCAGCCATTCTTCATGGGGCTCAACGAGATCACCGTCCTCTTTAAAACGAGACATCTACTAATCAGTGGTTTTAAAAAGCGGCGTCCGGTGTAAATCACACTTTCCCTCAAATGCACCTGGTCCTCGGCAGATAAAATGATGGCATCTAAAACAGGACATTTCTCCTCCAAAAGCTCTGAGCAGCGCTGCGTCTGATAGCATCTTACGCATACAACGTTCATAATGGAAAGAAAACCATCAAAGTCAACCGCAAGATCATGAAAGGGGAAATCTCCTTTCGTGGCGTCGCCGTTTTCATTGGGTCTCAGTGGCTTCCCGTGAAAAAGCCAAAGCGATTCAACCAAAAACTGATACACACCCGTTTTGGGGCCAAGAAGACCAGCAGAGCGCAGCAGCGTGAGTAGCCCAGAGTATCGCAAGCGTTGCTGGCGAATGGACTCGCCATGACTGAGAGCGATGTCAAAAAGTAAAAGCCAGTTACACTCCCCGCCTTTGATATCCATCCTGCTGTCGCGTTACTTCTTGGATATAAAATCAAAAAAAAAAAAAAAAAAAAGAGAGAAAGCAATAATTAAACAGGACGCAAAATGAATGAAGCATGTACATACGTTCATATATGAATTTTCCTTCCCTTTAATAGAACCTTCCATATAAGAACAGCAAGAAAAATACAATACAATGAAAAACAAAAAAAGTTAGTCCACATGGCTCTCGTCAACATATATATATATATATATATATATATGTATTTTTTACTGGCGTTTCTTTCTTTTAGAATATAAAATCCTAATTTGTCTTCAGTGGCCATGAAAAGACCAAAGCAAAAAAAAAAATTTGCACATTAAACACATTAAGCCACCTACCCAACATCCGTAGCAGCCAACAATCACCGCATTTCCCTCGTCATATAAGAAAATCCTCATTTCTCAATGTTCCTCCAAATGCTTGCAAACAAACGGCCTTCGCTGCTTGCTTGGAGAAAAAAAAAAAAAAAAAAAACCGTCCCCTCTCTCTCAAAGAAATTAAAAAAGGGGATAGGGCAAAAATGAACTTCAACAAAAAAAAACAAGCGGCAACTTCTCTCGTCTCCTAAAGTGCAATTCCCAGACGATCGGAAAGAATCCCAAAGAGGCCAAAAGAATATCCGGTAAAGCCGAACAATGGTGTTACATCTTCACAAGAAACTAAAACAACAGCCACAACAATATATATATATTTCTGTGTATGTATAACGCAAAGTACAGAAAACGCGCAATGGAAAAGATGCGTTATTGTATGATGGGTTCCATGGTGATGCCTGAGTCGACCTCATCGTGATGCCAAGGTCCATTCCCCCCGTATCGTCAGGGAAAGCCAAAAGCCAGCAATGTTACCCTCACGGGGTCGTGGTTGTTGGCAAAGGACTGAGGGCATCAACCAGCGTCCGGACCAGCTGCGTGCTGCTGGGGCACAGGTATGATACCAAAAGGTCTGGGGGCGCGTGTTGCTGTGCCGTCAGCAGTAACACATCTTGAGTCCAATCATGATTCTTTTAAGAGTTTTACTTCGCCACATTCCGCCCGTTACGCAAAGTTATGTTTTAAGGGAAAGCTGAAAAGAAATATTAACTTCAACTTCTTTTCCATTTTTTTTTTTTTTTCTTTTGAGTCTTCAATTTTGTTTTTATTTTTTTCTTGCTATGCACGCATCATGTAAAATTTTTCTCGCAATACCACCGCAAACGGTATAAAAATGAAGGGCCGCATAAATGAGGCAACTCAAAGCCCCACATTGCCTCCACACCATTGGAGTCGTTTTCTTTGGCTCACCATCTCAAAATTACAAAAAAAAAAAGACATTCCATCAAGTGCTTACAAAAACCAAGTCCTCATGACCACCTCTGGAGAAATGGATTTCGAAGTTCGCCTAAGGATCCTGCACTATCTTCCTTTGCCTTCTCGGCCGCAACAGAATTTTCGGCAACCAATAAACTATGGCAAAGATCACTCGATGGTCCACTAGGTGACGGGCCATTCTGATTTAACCAGACTGGTTGCGGCGGCCTGAAAGGGACAGGTCCCGTAACTCCATGCTGCTTTGGCGTTCCCCCAAGTTGCAACGCACTTTCCTCCCCTGGACCTGGCAAAAATGGTTTAACTAAAGGTTTTTTCGGGAGAGCAGGAAAAGAAGTCTTGACTTCACTGTTGACGGCTGGTTGGCGACGCACAAGCCCTGGGGCAGTGTTTCTGTTCGCCCCCTGGGATAGCGCACTGTTGAGGGGCAATCCATTTTCAGACTTTTCACTGCCAATGCTGTGGTGGCTCCCGCGTTGATCCTCCTTCTCTCCATTTTTGCCATGAAACTTTATTTTATCCACCTCCCTCTTCTCTTTTGGAGCCTCCCGCATCCTATTGATCACACTTGCCAAGACTATTAGAAGCAGGGCTCCAACCCAATTCCATACTCCCCAAATTTCAGCGGGAATCGCCTCCTCTTCACCGTGCGGTTGACTCCCAAAAAACGGTCTACTACCCTCTTGCCCGGTTTTGTTGCTCTTCCTTTCGGATCCGCGAGGCGGCTCGTCTTCAATATCCAATTTCTTGCCCAGAGTGTTGACGGCAACAGCCAATCTTGACGTGGCAGCATGAAGATCTGAAAGGGCTTCATGGCAGCTGGTGGATATCGTCCCTGCCAAAAAACAGAATTTGTTGATTTCTTCCCTGGCTGCATTCACAGAACTTTCCAACTCATCTGTCTGAAAAACCAAGATCCTCAGAAACTCTAGTCCCTTGTTTCCCTCGGAATTATACCTCTTCAAAAAATTTTGCGTGTCCTTCTCTGATTGGCGCCTCTTCTCCGCTTCTTCCTCCGCTTGGCGCCTCTTCTCAGCTTCTTCCTCCGCTTGATGCCTCTTCGCCGCTTCTTCCTCCGCTTGATGCCTCTTCGCCGCTTCTTCCTCCGCTTGGCGCCTCTTCTCAGCTTCTTCCTCCGCTTGATGCCTCTTCTCCGCTTCTTCCTCCGCCTGGCGCCTCTTCTCAGCTTCTTCCTCCGCTTGGCGCCTCTTCGCCGCTTCTTCCTCCGCTTGGCGCCTCTTCGCCGCTTCTTCCTCCGCTTGGCGCCTCTTCTCAGCTTCTTCCTCCGCTTGATGCCTCTTCGCCGCCTCTTCCTCCGCTTGGCGCCTCTTCTCAGCTTCTTCCTCCGCTTGGCGCCTCTTCTCAGCTTCTTCTTCCGCTTGATGCCTCTTCTCCGCTTCTTCCTCCGCTTGGCGCCTCTTCTCCGCTTCTTCTTCCGCTTGATGCCTCTTCGCCGCCTCTTCCTCCGCTTGATGCCTCTTCTCAGCTTCTTCCTCCGCTTGGCGCCTCTTCGCCGCTTCTTCCTCCGCTTGGCGCCTCTTCTCAGCTTCTTCCTCCGCCTGGCGCCTCTTCTCAGCTTCTTCCTCCGCTTGGCGCCTCCTCTCCGCTTCTTCTTCCGCTTGATGCTTCTTCGCCGCCTCTTCCTCCGCTTGATGCCTCTTCTCAGCTTCTTCCTCCGCTTGGCGCCTCTTCGCCGCTTCTTCCTCCGCTTGATGCCTCTTCGCCGCCTCTTCCTCCGCTTGATGCCTCTTCGCCTCTTCCTCCTTTGCTTCAGCTTCTGTCACTTGGCCTTCAGTCAGTTTTCGGAGACGAGCAACTTCCCCTTTTAGACGCCCAGTCTCGTCTTCGTTGTTATCCGGTCCCCCATTCTCTTCATGCAGCATACGAGCCCTTCCTTCAGTTGGTTTTATCACCGCCGATGGTGAATGCCAAACCCCCTCAGTATCCTCTACTGAAGACGCATTTGTCACAACAGCCAATAAAAGTAAACATAGACAGTAGAAAATATACAAGCACCATGGTCTGCCAATCATAGCATGATAAAGCATCGTTATTTGTGAAGACCCCTTTTCGCTTTTTTTTTTTGCTTTTTCTTTCTAACAAAAAAAGAGTCAGAACAATCAATGTAATGCTTACCAGAACAATGGATCAGGCGATTCAGACCAAATATTCCAAAAAAGGAAACAAATCAATAGCAAACCAAGGCACGGCTAAAGAAAATAATCTTGCAGCGTAGGAAAAGCAGAATACGATCTCATCAATAGTAAATAGGGTAAAAAAGCATTAAAAATAATCGCACAAAAAAAAAACTGGTCAATGTTGAAAAAACGAAATAAAAAAGAAAAAAAAAAAAAAAACCGGGATGCCTCCAAAGAAGCTACAACTTTATGGGCACGGAAAACTCCATGGTGTCACCAGGGAAGCAGCCTATCCTCGGAGGCTCTGTACCAACCGTCTCAACACCAGTGCCAATGCGCATCGACGTGCCTCCAATACGTTCCGGTTTCACTGGAGGACGGTCCTTCAAAGATGTTGGTATCGCGGGAGGCTCATCATATCCGACCTCCTCAAGCGAACGACACGGGCCATTTGATATTACCGCAAGAGGATCGCACGAGCCGGATTTTGGATGGGGTACAATAATTTCAACGATCTCAAGCGGTTTCGACTCCTTGACTGGCTCTGGCAAAAGATAATCAAGCCTGTTAGGTCGACCGGCCGCAACAGTTTCTTCTGCCTCTTCAAGAATCGACTCAGTAGATTTGATTGGAGGAGGACGTAAACGCAGTTCTTCATCAGCCCTTGCTTTTGCAATAACAATATCTTCAAGTTTGCTCTTTAACAGGACAACCACATGCTTCAGTCCTCTCTCTGAGGCAACATACAGAGGGTTTTTGCCGTCAATGTCACATACATTTTGGTCGGCACCGGCCTTCAAAAGTTGATACACGGCATCGTGAAGACCGGCTTTTGCTGCCATATACAGAGGAGTTTCATTTCTGACATTCTTGGCATTCAGATTTGCACCACTTCTCAAAAGAATGTCAATGATGGCACAATTGCCCGTGCGAGCAGCCACGTGAAGAGCTGTTTCATCATTATTTCCGTTTTTTGCGTCCACATTGGCACCATACTCAAGGAGTAACAGCACAACATCAATTTTGCCGTTGAAGCACGCAATATAGAGCGGAGTTTCACGATCCGGGCCCTTCAAATCAACTTCGGCACCAAGATTCAACAATTTCTTGACAGTGGGGCAACCCACCTCCCTCTTCATTGATGCATAATATAGCGGGGTGTACCCATTGGAATTCAGTGAATTCACATTCGTCGGTGAAAAAACCTGCTGCATCGCGGCAAGGTCCTGTCGCTCAATAGAATAGAATAGACTCATGTTCATCGACACGGCTCTAAAATCGGAGAAGAGGGAGAAAAAAAAAGAAGGAAAAAATGATGTTGGTGTCTTTTGTTTTTTTTTCATTTATCCAAGGAAGCAATCGCCAAAAATGAAAGCCAAAAATAAAACAAAACAAAACAAAGATGCTTTTATTTTCATTCACTTATTTACTTATGTTGGCATTCCTATGGGAATCAACAGAAAATGAGACAACATCATTTACTCGGAAAGTTCTATTGGTCAGCCAAACCAGAGCCTAACAAAAACAACAACAAAAAACTCGTCATAAATAGTTCAAATTTCTCCTTCCACAAAGCAGTATTCCAATGCATATGCCTCCGTATTACAATTTCCGCTGCAGGTAAATACAAGAACATTCCCAAAGTGTAGGGAGTGTTTCTTCTCCTCGTTTAACCTCGTCAAAAAATAAATAATGGGCGACGTAAGCTGGAGCTCGTACCGGCGTTTTTTCCCGCAATAAGGGCATCGTGGCGCAACAATTGAAATTACGGATAATTGCAATGGCTCCCGGCTAGGGCCCCATCGCACACACTGTGAAGGAACCCTGCCGATTCTTTCCACGTATTTTCGCAAAAGTTTTTCATGCAACGGCTCATCAGCCTCATCCAAAACTGTCGTCTCAACGACATCTTCGCCGTATTTTCCCTGTGCCTCATGCAACTGGATATTGAAGGGGGCAGACTTTGGTTTCACTTTGGGAGGCTCCTCAAACACTTCAAGCGTAAAGCATGGAAAACGCATACCCCTGATAGGTGGCTTTGATCCGGGAGGGGCGAGTGGGGAAGGCACTTCGGTACTGCAAATGTCATCAGCAATCGCTTCATTTACAATGCTTCTGTTCCCACGTTGTTCCGTAGCCATGTTTGATTTAATGCTCTTATCATCATAATCCCATCCCTTATCCATCCCATCTCCCCAGTCCGCGCTTTCTTCGAAAAGAAGTCGTTTGTCCTCGCAGCCTCCCTTGTCGTTTCTCTGCGATGCATTTTTGTAAGAAGGATTAAAGTTCTGAGATCGAAGAGCAAAACAAAAAGTGCTCTGCTCAGTACTGCACGTGGAGCAAGTGAGTACGTACAGCAAACGGTCGTAAACGTCCAGAGGAGCGTAAATCTGAGCCAATAACGACACTGCGTTCATGCTATTACACTTGGGGCAACGAAACACACTATAATCTGCCGTCTCTCGAAACAAGGTAGCTGTTCCACCAATTCTTGAGGTATAAACAGAACATAGATCTTCGCCAGCAACATCTACTGGCTTCCCAAGCCAAACAGCATCTTTCATAGCCATCCTACCATTCCTATTTAGAAACACACACACACACACACAAAAAAAAAAAAAAAAAGCCAACGGATAAAAGAGGTTAAATTAAAATAATTGTTCACTTCAGCTTTTTATTTATGTATAGTTTTTGTGTGTACATATTATATGATATTGTAAGGAGTGTTGTATTCAGCAGTCAAAAAGAGGTTCAAAAAACGTCACTGTCGGTTGGGAAAACAATCGTAAAAACGCTCAGTCTCACTAGAGTTCATTGAAACAATTCGGTTAATGACCGAGTAAGCCAATCGCCTCCATATGCCTCCTTTAGATAATACGGGGCATTATGAGGGCAGTGACTCACCACATCAGCCACTGTACACCTTTGAAGGGGAAAGAGCTCCTTTTCAGGTGAAGATCCATCAACAGAAATCACGACACCATCATTAACAATTGTCTCGTGAAATTCCGCGCAAATTCTTTTCGTGCATTTTCGGAAAACTCTTACGGGATTTTGCAGACTCACTCGAACTGTTGATGCAACACCAAAGCAGCGAGAATCGAGTTCATTCATCATTGCCACAACTTTATCCGTGTCATCTGACCTCTTAAAACCAATGTCAAGATCCGCATCCCAAAGCACTAGCCTTCCAAGTCTCGTAGATCCCAGAAGAGTGCCGTTTTGTAACCAAAAAACAATTTTATTTTCTTCAAGAAATCGCATAGAACATGTTAAAGCATTACGAAACGCTGCCTCCCTGTCGTAGTAGACATGAAAACAATATGTCACCGCCACGTACACAACAATTCCCAGAAGCATCACCACGATCGCACGTGTCCAATACAACCCAAGGTTTTCGCCACTTTTGGGATATTCTTTAATCATGATGGGCTTAACTTTTTGGTTTCCTTTCTTCCTAAGAAAAAATTTGATGGAAATCTTTTAGATATCGTCAAGCCGTAGAATAACCCTGCAGAGTAAGGAAAAGAGAAACAGGGAGAAAAGATTGCCCTACTAGCAGAAAAGATATATATACACGTACGTAGTCAAAGCTGACAAACCCATTTTTTAAAAAGGCATCTCCTTTCCCATTCTTTCCAAACTTGTGGAGGAAATAATAATAACAATAATAATAATAATAATAATAATAATAATAATAATAATAATAATAATAATAATAATAATAATAAGTTCAATGCAAATTGTACAGGTGATTCTCCTTCCTAATTGACACCCCCGCAAAGCATTATTTTTTAGCCAAACCTGGATATTGAGCAAGCAACAGCATCTCTTTCCGTTTTTGCTCCCGTGCACGTGCAGACGCCAGTTCGCTCTCCAATCTTGCTATTTTCAAGCGAAGCCGCTTGCAGTGACCACACTCAAAGCTTCCATTCAGTACCCGTGACAATGGAACGAGAACATCGTTCAATGAAGAGGCATTCTCTTCTTGAAGTACACGTCTGTCAATAAATCCTAAGCTTTTCTTAATTGTCATGCCATACGAATAAGGTGGGCCTTGTAAAAACTGCACTGAAAGGAAGAAGAAAAATACCCAAAAAAAATAAAAAGAATATAATAAAACCCCCGTGATTGCCCCAATATTATAGTTCGACAACAACAAGCTGCAGCAATAATTGATTTCATTTACTTCGAAGTTGTATTAGAAAAAAACGGCGCGAGACTTATGAATGGAGCACTTGTAGCAAAACGGATAGAATTTCGCTCGCACAGACGACGGAATGTTCCTCTGAAGGCCGAGCTAGACACATATTTTTTAGCTCCGACAAAAACATTTTCAACGCAGATCCACAACCAGAGACCTGGAACAAATAATGAGCCATTGCTACTGCCAACATGCGCAGTTTAGAAAGTTCGGGAGGGAAAAGCAGAACCACAGTAATAAGAGAAGAAACATTTTCATCTATTACACCAAGAAAAGTGTTCAGTATAGCACAATCCAGCCACCACCAGCAGCGGCCATCTAAGGAAAAACCGTCTTTTCCAAGACACGCCTCAAACAAAAGCCGTGTCGTGTACTCAACTACAGACCAACGGGCGATCAACTCAGTGTTTTCCCTTACGATTCGCTTTGAGATTGCCTGTAGTTCATACAAGAGCAATCGCTTGAAAATCAACGTAAAATCAAACTTGTTAATTGTAATAAACAAGATGTCCTCTTTTTCCAGAACATGTGCAATGAGTTCATGGACTACGGCAATTGCGATATCACCGTTGTTTGAAGAATTACCGCGAAGGGAATCCAAAAACGCGATCACCTGTATGCGATTATAATCCAATTCCCCCGACTCAAATTCATTATATGAACCACGAAAAACTAATAACGCTGCAGTCACAAGGTGAAGCAGTTTATTCCTATTCGTTTTAATTCTTCTAGAAAACGCTGATCTCTGGTACGACAAGGGCGCCTGATTTAAAATATCTGCGCATGGTTTCAACTTTGAAAGCCCGGGTTTCGCATGAACACACGTCTCGGACATTAATGGAACGGTTATATCGCTTCTTCCTCTTTCAAGAGAAGTCAGCCCCAAAAATCCTCGCAATCTGTACCAATGAGTCTGTCCAAGAGCCGTTATATGAGTAATACACTGCAATGTATAGTATGCATAGCGCTCCAATCGTCGTCCGGAACTTCTGTTAAGAATCTCATTGCAAACTGCTTCACATACCCTCACTGAGAAAAGTTCCTCCGGAAGCATGGATAGAATACTGCATGCACTACGCAGCATCTGCAAAATGCCAAAACTAAACGAAAGACGTCCCCATTGGCTAGACTCCAAGTCATCGAGCAAACGAGTTATTATGATAAACGCCACGGGTTCAATCTCTTTACGGTTAGACGAACCAAACATGGCAATTGCAGCAGTGAGCGCACCCATATAAGAAAAGATGTCAATTGAGAGCAGTTTTCTTAGGATACTCACTGCGTCAACATATCCAGCCAATTTCTCACTTCCCGCCGTAAATAGAGTCAGCATGATTGTTGTACACGCACGTGTATTCCATTCATCAAACAGAACGATTGACCGATTCGAGTCGGGCAATAATCCCACATTGGAACAAAGAATATTGTGATGAATAAATGCATTGTCTATACAAGAAGCAGCGTATTCACGGTACCAAGCGTAAATGCACGGAAGAATTTTTACCGCAATGGTATCATTATGCATGTGGAAATGCTTCAACAGAGACAGATTCCCTGAAATAAGTGTCGTCAGTAAAAAATATATATCGGATACACAATATGGAGGAATTGTGGATGTAGTTGCAAAAATTGAGTTAATCGCGCTAACGTAAAGATGAAGAAATGAAGGAAGCACCTTCTCCGCTTCATCTCGGGCATATGTATAACATCCAGATAATGGGAAAAGATGCCCAACGGTGTGAATATTCCAATTTCGTGCGTTTGTAAACAAGGGAAATCGGGCATAAAGTGAAAATACGGACGCGTTGCAAAAAGAGTAAATTCTCAAAGTCGTGTCTAAAAACATTAGTTCCAAGGGAAAATCCGCATACTGAGACAAGGCATCCACCAAAGCCATGTGTACCTTGGGTTTGGAATAGCACTCATCCGAAACGACCGTGTGTAACAATAAACTTGTGACAAACCAAAATATAATTCGTTGTTCATCTCCATCAAATTGACAAGAAACACCAAATTTCAAAAAGTGTGGAATAAAATTTGCATGCATCTCCTGGACAAGACTTGGGGGCAAGCCCACTGTCTGATTAAGCTTGCATAAAAATTTTAAAAAAGGCATATCCAAAGACCGAAATCTTTCTTTCCCATAAAAAATCAATTGCCATACAGAAAGCCTACAACATTTTACCACCAACCAGAGAACAGACTCATTCATTCCTTGATTCAAGTTCAGTGAACAAAGAAAAATGGAGACCACGTGCTTTGCTATAGATTCAACGTCCTTAAAATCTACTTCTAAGCACTGATTAATAATACTTAATACTGTGTTTTGTAACTCTTTTCCCTCATCAGACTCATGTTTTCCATCCAGAACTTCCTGCCAACCATCATCCCCAGTGGGAGCAACAAGAACTAGCAAAAACATAGAACAGTATCTAAGAGAAAGACTCCATTCATCACTTACCGATATTTCATGAAGTAGTTCAATGATTCTCTTTAAGAAGGAATTTAATATGGCCATATCCACTTGTAATGAAGCAACACCACCCCTTATAAGCAGCTTCGTCAGCACAGTCAATTCCGTTGATTTTAGTCCTGCAAGTAATCCCAACTTCCCCATCTCAAAAAAGATATCCTTAGCATACCTTTCGGAAACAGATTCCAACAACTCTGCCATTATAAAATTTTTTGATCCAATAAAATGAAAAAATACCCCTGGTGATTGAGATACACCAAAAATAAAAAGAGGTAATAAAGGCATTGCGGCAAACAAATCCTTTTCCTCTGTGATTTCATAAAGATCAAGCGATGTTTTTTTTGATATAAATAAAGAGCATTTTATCGTTGGAAAGGCTAGGGCTTTACAAATTAAGAAGAAAGAAACAATGGATATCGTTCCCTTCTTCATAGGTACTGGAATCAAGAGTTGAGGAAATGAAGAAAAGGCCACCCGTAAAAATGAGGTATTTGTTAATATACCCTCTGGTATTTCTAAAAAATTCGACCGAGCAGCATCGTACAAGGCTCTACGAAGTGAAATACTATAACGTTCATCAGAAATAAATTCCATTGTCTTTAAGGAACCTGCAGATTGCGTCCAACCCCAAGAAAAAGAATCAATAATATGTGCAAGAAGATCATCATATAAACCCAACACCGCTTCGTTAACCGAAAAATTGGCCTTCTCAACAATTTTATTATTGGGATCCATATTTTCAAGAATGATCAATAAAATTTCCAAAAAAATCTCTTCACATGGTATTGTAAGAACTGCCTCCACAGCACGAGTCGCAAGTGATGGATCTAAAACACAAGCACACAACAGCAAAGGAAATGAAGTTTTCTCTGTTATAAAAGAATCCGGCACAAAATTCGTACAATTACCAAAAGATATGGCCTGACAAAGCATATAAAACTCCGAAAAAAACTCGTCGCTACACGAGTTTTTTTTGTAAGTAAAACCATCCAATGTTTTTAATGCCGTGGTAATGCTTAATTCATTTATTTTACGATTCAAATTTAATATACGAACCACAATATCTCTACATGTACTAAAAGCATCACTTTCGAGGATTTCGTTAGATTGATCAATTACGTATAAAATGTTTCGCCATTCTTCTTCTCCACATATGGTACCAACGCGAGAAGCGTAAATGGAAGACATAAGTAGCTCCAAAACATCCAAAATGGGTTCAACCACCGTTGCTCCATAAACTGCATTGTAGTAACTTTGATTAGATACAATGGAAATCATGCGTTTCACAAGCAAAAAATCCGTGTCCACTGCGAGGTAAAATTGTGTCTTCTGAGTGCATGTGTCGGCCTGAATAAAAAGTTTGATACAGCCAAAAAATTCTTTCCCAATAAAAGCCAAATCAAAATCTAAACTTCTCGTTAAAATTTTAACGATCAAAGGTATCCATTTTTCAGATTCATTGTTTATTGTGGCAACAGATTTTTCGAAAACATTATTCTCATTATTGAAACCAAGCAAAAGCATCAAAACTCCACGGCATCCTCTCAAAGAAACGACAGGAGTATACCCAGCCAAAATATCCAAACAACATAATACATTGGAATATAAAAAACGCAGGTGACTAATAAATACAGGAGAAGAGCCTCCAAAAAAAATAAGCTCCAAAAAAAGTTCGCTCACGTGTTCTACAAGTTCAAAAAAATGTGTTGTCCGATAATGTTTGGCATTTGTAAGACCAGATAAAGTCGATAGCGCAATCATTTTTTCTAGCCCATTTGGTAGCTCTTGCCAACCCAAATATAGTGAATGTTTTTTTTTTAATACTGGTATTGATATGGGGTCTAATGCTTTGCAACATCGATATAAAACATTCCAAATATAGTTAAAGAAGCGTTTGTGTGTAAAAATATCAAATAAATGACTCACGTTGCATCTTTGCAAACAAAGCGTAGCTGCCCGTATCAAGGAAATGTATACGTCAAAGGGAAAAGATTCCATAGAAAATAGTATGTCCTGAATACAAGTAAATGCCTTGTAAAATGTCTCTTCAAGAAGAATATTACCCATGGTAGAAGGGTAATAAACGTTATATATGCTAGAAACACTGATTAAGCATAATCCTTCGCAAACACAATGAATGTAATGATAATGTTGTTTTGTAGAGCTTTTTATTTCAAATTCCAGTTTTTCAATTAGAAATGAAATTAATTGTGATACATTTCGCAAATAACAAATACAACTCTTCTTATTCCGAGGTAATAAATTTTTAATGTATGGGCACCCTTCAAAAAAATTAACGCTGCGGAAAAAGGGCTCCCTAAAGAATACCTCATCCAGTACAAACTCATTACACCATTTGAGAAGGATAATGTATGCAGAATCATTGATTTTTTTATCCAAATCTTGTGTACAGTGTATCACATACGAAAAAGTGTTCATTTCAATGAATGGGATTTTTTGAATCAGTTCAAGCAAATGTATTTGTACACATTTCATGGAATGAAGAGGATTAGTAAAATCCAAGCAAAAATGCAAAACATGAAAAAAAATTTTGTATATATCTTTCGGTATGATTTGAGCCAAGGCAGTGAGCAAACAAAGTGTCCCAGAAACAGTACACCCACATTGAGACTTCATATACTTTTTGAAAAGGTTGTAGGTATGAGATAGCAGTTTCTTTGCTTCAGGGATGTTTATGTTATTCATTGAGGCAGCGACAGCAGATAACATTTTGGATCGAATCATTGGATCTGGATATTCTACCAACTTCCAAATCAATTCTAATTTGCTTGTCCAATGAGGTTTTACTAATTCGATTAGGTTTAATAATGGTAAAATTAGAATAGGCCTGGTTTCTTTTTGAGATAAAATTAGACAAACACGTTCAATAATTTTAGCAGATAAACTCAATTGCCAGTTAAAATCCCACTGTTTCATTTTTCCATAGCATGAAATAGCTACTGGAACTATCAAATGTTGCAAAGGCTCTTCAAATAAAAGGGAAAGGAGCCATTTTTCAATACGTAACTTGGCTTGAGAAACTGTAGAGTGCTCAAATGGTGTACTCGATAATTTTTTAGCCTGACTTATTAATAGTGGCAAGCTAGCATCTAAAGTAATGCAACTCCCAAGTAAATCGCTCTTCGTTTCTAAGGTGTCCATTAAATTCGTAAAGGAACCACAAAAAGGTGTACTGGCCACCAACTGAGCCGCCATGAGTGCAGCAGCTCGACGTCTTTCTGTTCGCCCAGATTCCAATATTTGTTTTAATACATTCTCAAAAATAGCTTCAGCGATTTCTTTCTCTGAATATGTTCCAAGTGCTTCTAATACAGCACAAAAGCTTTTCAGAAATATTTCATTTGTTATGATATCATTTGTGCTAGATAATATCCCCAAGACCTCTTTTGCAAACACTCGAAAGGCATTTGAACGTTGTGGAATACCTATACGATCCACAATATTTCCAAAGTGTCGCAACAAACTCAATTGTACCCGTGGTTTGGAAGACCCTCGCAGACACTGAAGAAGTACTGTCCAAGAAGTAGAAAGCATCCGTGAAGAGTGTAATGCTATCATTGTTCCCATCATTTGATCTCCTTTTTCATGATGCACTGTTCCAAGAAGCATCCAGATTTGACGGAGGTTATGATTGAGAAGAGATGGATCATCCACGACAGTTTTACTGATCTTGCCAAGACGTTTTATTTCTTCTGTCGTGAAGATGTGTACATCCTTTGAATTCATTGCAAAACTCAATCTACCAGCAATCAATTTTAATATTATTATTATTATTATTTGTTGATCTATTTCTTCCACAACCCTTTCTTTTTTGTTGTTGTTGTTGTTGGTTTGTTTTTTCGTTCGATCAATAATGAAAAAAAGACTCGCAAAGGGGCGCAACGGGGGACAATGGAACGGAAAAATCCAGGGCTCAATGAGGGGACCAATGCTGTTAAGCACCCGTCCCCCTTCATAGCCAGAAAAAAAAAAACAACAACCACTTGAAATAAAGTCCGGGAATCGCCGGGCCGCGTCGCGGGCAGACCCCGGAGCTGAGGGCGGCAAAGATACAAAAAAAAAAGTGGTGGGAAACAAACGGAGAAAACCCTTTAGGTTCCTCAGCCATTGCCAGGCATTCCTTTCCGCCTCGTGGCGGACCACGGGATTTGAGCTCAAATGCCAAAAAATTTCAATTTACTTTTTTGCCGAGATTTAAAAAGAAAAAAAAACAGGGCCGCTACGGGAATTGAACCCGTGACCTCCTGTACCCGAAACAGGAATCATACCACTAGACCAAGCGGCCAACAACCAACGCCGGCCTTTAGAATCTTTAGATGTGACGAAATGCGCGAAAACAGAAAAGCCATATCTCTCGAAGATTGACATCAGCCTTGCGCAGGGAGAGTGCTAATCTTCTCTGTTGAATTTCCAGATTGTGGATGTCCTTCGCTTTGACACGAAGGCTCCGGAACACCAAAACCCCAAAACTACCAAAGTTGTTTAAAAAAAGCAAACATCGTATTTGACAAATGTTTTTCTGCGGTAGACTAAACACGTTCCTGCGTGGCCGCTTAGCACAGTGGCAGTGCACCACTCTCGTAAAGTGGGGGTCGCGAGTTCGATTCTCGCAGTGGCCTGCTTTTTCTCTTTTTTTTTTTTAAGAGAATAAATAAACAAGGATTTTGTTTCTTATCAGTGGAACTTTTAGAGTTGTGACGAATCCTCCCTGGCGCAGTCGGCAGCGCGTTAGGCTGTTAACCTACAGGTCGTTGGTTCGAATCCAACGGGAGGAGTTTTTTTCGCACCATTTTTTCATTCTCGGGTGCTGTTTGGAGCAAATGATCGTGGGAGAGCTGGCTGACTTAATTGATGTATGTTTATATCCTGATAAATAAATGCATTCTTTATGATACTTTTCTGCCGTATGAATCTTTTGGGAAGAACGAGACTTTGTAAGGGCAGGGAGCCGATAGAGGCCAAATAATATTTGTTTTTTTTTTACAGACACAGCCAGGTAAGTTTCAGGAAATGGCTTTGGTTCCCTACACACCCTCTAAGTGGTGTGGTATTGGCTCCCGTCTCTGGGACATGGTGTGCCAATGTGGCGAGGCCCAGGTGCAGATGACGTTCATTAATGGTAACCAGGTGTCGGACGAGAAGTTAACTGTGGCCGCATCATCGACAGGCTTATGCGCGTTCCATGGACCTATCTCTAAAGCATGGCAGGATTCCACTCTTATTGGAAATATTACGAATCTACGGGCGCCTCAGATCCCTAATTTTGAGACACAAGCGCTCCTGCCCGCTATGGGGGCAGCCCGGGAGTTGGGGCACCAACAAGGGCTCATCACTGCTGAAAGGAGCGCCTGAATTTTGATTACGCTAACGCCGTCGCGGGCATGCAGAATCGGAATGCTCAGCTCAACTCGCAGGTTGAGGAGGCGCATATTAACCTATCGGTGAGGGAATCCAATATCGCCGGGGCCGGCAACCAGGTCTCAGAACTACAACAGCAGTTGGAGAACACTCGCGCACAATTACGGAAGCGCGAATTCAACATGGGAAGGCTCACGGGTCAACTCCAGGAACGGGAGGCACGCCATAATGCACAACAACCCGCGCGGGATGCGGAGACGGCGGGGCGGGACGAGGCCCCCGCTACTCGACACGTCGCCAACGGTGGCGTATCTACACTACCGCATCAAACGGATATCTTGATGGCTGGAAGCGTGCCTGGCAGCGCGGCCCGACACAGTTCGGCGACTTACAGACTCCCTCACGGCAATGTTGGGAGACCACATTTCCACCCCTCCACGCCGTTGCCTTCCCGCACTTCTCCCCTGGAAGCCCAGTCACCCATGGAAGAGGACCGCGGTTTCTGCACATTCGACGTCACCACGCGGCCCACGCGTATATGGAATGAGGGCGCCTCCGGAGTCGTTTTCGACCTCCGGTGCGCATACCAATGCTGGCAACAGGACGACGAGCAGGTTAAGCTTGTCTTTGAAAATTTGGTCGAGTGGATCGGCGTGCTGGAAGGCGGGCAGGATCCCACCGATCGCTTCATGAATTTGGGGAGGTCCCTACTGAATACATTCCGGATGCGGCTCACGATTGCATCCGATCCCGGCATCCGGCTCTCCAAACTGCGCGCCCGTCTTTACACCGCTGTTCACCAGACGGACACCAATGCGAAGGCAGCCCAGCCTCTCGTCGATCGGCGAGAAACCCAACGCACTTTGCGATGACAACGATGTCATACCTATGGACACGAGGCATCTACATGCAACGTGCGCCCCAGAGGGAATTACTCACAATGCAGGCGCCCATGAAAAAACGGCAGTGGG